TTGAATTAACGTAGACTTTTTCTTATATATTATACATATTTTTGAAAAAACAACAAACCCAAAACCATCTTTTTGAAGATGCGATCGGACTTCAGACGTCACTTGATTTAGAATGCAAAAATAGATGTTTTTTATGTAATAATTTTCATGTGTGTCAATTTTTATTCTTATGCAACCGGCATTTTACCAACTGTATCTTTTATATTTAAAGACAGTTTATGGGATCATAGCAGCTCCACTGAGTTTGGACGGAGGAACTTAAGCCCTGGATGTCTTTCCAACTGTATCCTCTGACATTTAAGCCGCCACAGTGACAATGAATTTCAATAGGCCATTGTTCTGAACCTCTATCATCAGTGAAACCCTGTACCTGGGAGCTGTGCTTTTTTTTTTTTCTTACCAAAAAGCAAAGAGAAGAAATGATCACCGATAATAAGACATCCTATGTCAAGATGTTTTGAACAGGAGCATTTCCAGCCATTAGGGGTAATTATGGCCATGTATCTTTCTTTATATACGGCAGCATTCATATCAAATAAGCCTCACTGCACATGCTAACACAATGGTCCTGTCTGTCCTTTATGCAGGACAACAGCCATTCGGGCAGCACTTAAGAAAAACACCCAACAAAAACACAAAGAGGTGAGTTTGGAGAGGCTGACACCCAGAGTGAGTAGTTCATGGCCATTAGAGGAGCAGGAACTTGGACATATTTGTTATTGATCCGTGGCCAGGCTTCAGAACATCAGATTCTGTTCAGTCTACTCTATTAAGATGCTCTGCGTATTTACTGCAGCTCTGTATTTAAACATGCACACCATAATCCCGTGTTATTGTCATTATGGTTAGTTAGGATACCACGTGTCATTTAAGACATATGACTTTAATAAACGTGTACAGACAAAGGAGCCAGAACTTTGTACAACACCAAATGTCCAGCTATTCCTCAGCCAGATGGCAGAACTCAGACGCTGCACTGATTCCAACGATGGCAGGACATAAAGCCCTGCTCTAAAAACATGCATCTGTGTGATATCACAAAATCCTCATTCTCATGTTCAATCTGCATGCACATCTGGTCATAATCACATTATAAACATTGGTTATGCAATAATCTGTCTTTAATGTCTCTGTCCTGTTGGCAGCACTTTTTCCTGATCAGGAATGGGAGCTGCCACGTAGATAAAGAGATTTGTAGAGAACTGGCAACTGTTTGATAATGTGTCAACTGCAGCAGAAACAGACAAACTGGTCGCTGCATTCTCATCCACACATTTCTCTCATACTATCATATGTCACACTCACACAAAAAAATCACTTACGAAAAACAGAAGAATAAGCAGTAAGCAGTTACCTGTGTGAGCTGTGACACGCATGGACACACCGTGTCAGTGATATATACTTTATATTAACATGTTAAAATACCATTCAATAATTATTGTTTATTTATTTATTTATATACACTCTTTTTTAAATTAGATTTACTATTTTATTCATAATTATTTTTAGTTTACTACTTTTTACACATTTTATTTTTCCTTAATGGCAAATTTGTGTCTATGTGTAGGTCTGTTTTCCTTTATATCTATATCTAAGTTTGTTTTTAGTATAATGTCTCACAAAAGGAGTTTATTGTCTGAAACAAATACTAAAATCTAAAATTTTTATAATATATTTCATATGACAAAGGTTGGTCCCTGTTCTGTTCTGTTTTGACCCAGAGTAAAGACAGTTTGAACGCGTCTCCAAATTGATATTCCTGTACAAAAACTTGAAAACCTGAAACTGAGTTTCAGCCAAGCGATGACAGACTTGGTGGAATAGTTCGGCAGTGAACACCCATCACTCTAAAAAGGGTTTTTCAGTTTCAACATGCAGCAGGTTATTTTTTCCGCCAGATAAAGGTGTGAATCTGAGCCTAAAGGGTTGTTTCTGTCACGGTAAAAGACATGTCCATGTTGCTGTAGGGAATCAATACAGTTTTATTTGGCCAGACAGACCAAATTCACATTTTGCCTCAGAGGACTTTTGAGCGTGATCATAAAGGACCTTCTGTCTGGTAAGACCTTCAATCTGGGTAAAGAACATCTCTAAAAAAATCCTTCCGCAGAGGAAAGATTCCTTTTACAGGAAGGACAGCGGAGCAATAAATGTGTGTACAAAGCAGTGATCGGAGAAAACCACATGGTGCACAGTAATGACAAAAATGACGACCTTTTGTCATGTTTTACTGGCTATTGTAGTGGTTTTGCAGTCATACACGTACAGCATTTGCTTTTGCTCTGCTCTGTGATGTTGTGACTGACGAATTCAACATTCAGTTACATTCAATGCTGCTGACTCTGGAAATGCAAATTCATTTTACACATTAGTTGAACCAAAAACATTTCCATATCTATACAAAAATTGACATCTGCTATGAGTTGATGATTGAGGTCTTCATCCCCACTGATGACTTCTTCTTCATGACTGAAGAGTTCATACTTTTCTAGGGTTTCAATTCTTCAGTTGCTTCAGTCCACAGATGTGAAAATATCTGATGTTTTCCCACTGCTGTTATCACCTTTTCCATCAAAAAAAAAAAAAAAAAAAAAAAAAGAGAGACGCTTATAGAGGCAAAAGGAGGACACATTTCCGAATTAGTGCCAAGGGAGTTATGAAAAAAGCCAGACCTCAGAAGACATGTTGTTCCACTGGGTCATTTGAAAATGGCTGTACCTTATAATTTACTTACATTTTTTTAAACATTTTTAAGACCAACCCAACATCTTCCATACTGGTTAGATTTTAAAATATACATTTTATTGTTATTTACTTTTGTATTTATTGTTAGGATTCCCCTTTAACTTTTCTATTTGACTAACTGAGGGTGTATTTGAACAAGAAAACAGGGCATGAGAAAATAATTTGAGAAAAAAAGAAGACTGGTTTGGTTGCACTTTTAATCCTGTAACTGATCCACAAAAGGTAAACAATAAAATTGATTTCACCTAGGATAAGAAAAACATCTTTACCAGTCGCGGTGAAATTACATGTTATTAAAACAAAATCATTGCCTTTCAAGTGAAATGTAATTACTGTTGCTGTTTTGATGTACAATAATGAGGAAGTCCACTCCTCTATTGTAGCCCCATTCTCCTCATTCTGTAACCTCTGAATAAAGATGTATCAGTGTAAGCAGAGCAGATTCAAGGAAACACCTTAGGCTTTAGGAATACAGTAACACACTGCAAAAAATAAATCCTTTAAAGCTTTTCTCTTATCTTATCGGCAGTGCACTAAGACTGTTGTTAGAATATTTGCTTTCATTTTCAACATCTAATATGCTCTGTTTACATGCAGTACATGTGATAAAACAGCAAATATTGTTTGACCAAGTTTTAAAACTCGCGACTAAATTTTGAAATGTGGGCCGTAACGTTAACATGCTCCTCAAAAATGTGAAGATGCATTTGAAAAGAGCCAGTAAAAAACACATTCATGTCCGCCTCTGTCTCTGCATCTGTGTCAGACAGACATGCATAGACAGGTGCTAAAAGGTGTTGATGGATGTCCTCACAGGGGCAGTCATTCATCTCTGTAGACCCCATTCTTTTAAAGGATCGCTGTCAAAACACTGGCTTCTAATGAATGACTTGTTCAGACAGGTCCACAGTTGTTCCTTTGAGTTCTCTGTCTATCACTGTTAAATGTTGCACCTGTAAATGTTGGGTTTTGCTAAGAAGAAGCTTAAATGAATGCTATGTTGTACACAGGGTTTCAGTGGTTTTTGGTACACATGGTGTAAATGGAAGGGCTAAATTACTGAACAGAAGCAATTACAATAACTGACAAACAAAGAAAAGAAAACAACAAACATACTAAAATGTTGTGTGGAATACCCCACGACCTAACCATTACAAACAAAATCGTTCCTAAAAAATAAATAAATAAAATACATCATTAAAATTGTTTTTATAATGTTCAGTGAGTGTGACTGGTTATATGAGAACTCTAATCAATATAACAGTAAAGTTATTTATTATTTCATTATCTCGAGCCAAAGAAAATTGTCTGGTTTTATATTCTGTAAAGCCTTACTGCAAAAATCAAGAGATATGATTGGTCACCACCAGTGATTGACAGTAGGTGCTTCCACTAGAAACAATGCAATGGTAAACGTAGTTTAGGTCAACCTGTTGGTGTACCACGAACGTTGTAAAAATGGTTAGAAAAATCACTGATGGTGCCGTAATGCTAGAATCATATTTGACTAGTTGGCTTTGAATTCCAGAAATATTTCCCTTTTCATCACTTTATGTCCCCATTAGGTCATAATTTACAAACCAGGCATCATTATAAACATAGTGCCGATTATTTTACAATTTTGCGTAATTTTATATGTCCATTTTAAAACAGAAGCGGGGGACTTCTGCAAAGGACCCGCCCGGTGGCATAGCTTCTCCCAGTTTTATTTATGGTCTGTGGTGAAAACATTTAGCTTTTAGTACATTGTGCATATGATAAGGGAATGCTACCATTTCCTGCGTACTTTCTGAGGGTTTCACATTAACCGTTCATCTAAAGGCTTTAAATTCCGAGTCTGGTGATGTCCGTAAAGGCGTCAGCCCTCGGGATGATGCCCATCACCCTCCTTTTCCTTCTTCTCCTCCTTTTCCTCCGCCTCCTCCTCCCTGTCCCCGCCGCTTCCCGCTGCCCATGCCCGGGCTGCCTGTTGCCGCCGCCGGGCTCGGGATGACGCCACCTCTCGCTCCGCCCCGACGCAAACTCGCTCTTCGCGTTCATTTCATTCCTCTTCTCATTCCGAGCATTCTTCGCATCTCTTGTCAGTGCGCGAAGCGATTCACCTTAAAACCTTCCCGGCTGGCTCTGAAACCGCACAATAACTTGACATAGTATTAAAAAAAAACAAACCAGTAACATCACATTACCAAAAGAAAGCGACATTTTTATATGAGATATCAATAACGAGGTAAGTTTCATTGGTAGTTACAGGTATTCAAAACTGGCTGTGGACTTCTTGCTTTTACCTTTTTATTATTAAACACGCTGCTTTAATATTTTACTTGTTGGAGTTAGCTTTAGGACGCCTGTTTTATATCGTATAAATAGAGAAAAATAGATAAAAAAGATAGATATATGGCCGATTTTGGCCGCCGCTGCAACAGGATGCTCACTTTGAACACTCAATGTTGTAGCCTGTGGCTTTGACATAGCAGCGAAAAATCTTTGACATTTTTCACATTTTTGGAAAAGAAGCCTGCTCGTACGCCCACAATAAAAACCTCACACGTTGTTTAGTCCCTGTCAGATCTTCTGAAAGTGCAGAGCAGTCCTCGGCGTTCACAAAAAACACACCCCGAGTGAAGAACAGTTTTTTGGACAAGATGACGATCGAAAACGTTGCTGTTCTCCCTTTCTCCAGATTCGCCTCAGCCGGGAGTTGTGCTCGGAGCTTTGGACGGAGCCTTTTCAAAACAACTCGGAGGAAAAACACCGAGGAGACTTGTTGCTTCAACGCGTTCGTGGTGTTTCTTTTCAACAACGCGTCCTCATCGAACTTTTGTGTAAGTAATTGTCTTTTATAAAACGTCTCCTACTTTCCCCCCAGCAGCAGTCTCCATGTTGTTACAGTAACTCGACAGAACAGGAGGGAAACGTTCACCTCAACTCATGTTATTGTTTATTAGCAAGACTCGACATTTGAACTTTAAAATGTCGATTTAAGTATTTTACATGCCTTCTCCCTTTACTTTAAATATTTTTAGTATTTCCGACTATAACGCGGCCACACTTTTAAATAGGTTAGTAAAGTGTGTGTGTGATTGCCTTTGTTTTAAATGGTACTGTCTCACTTCAAGTCCCTTTTTAAAAATTGAAGTTTTAATGTAGGAGTTTAATGCATTGGGATTCCTTTGTAAGTTTGCTTCAGCTTTTATTTAGGGTTTCCCCCATTGTTTTCAAACGCCCCCTCCCCTCACTACTTTGGGAAATGCATGGTCAGCTAAATCTGAAGTCCCCTGCAGTGTGTATGTGTATGTGTGTGTTCCAAAGTTTTACTCTCAAAGATGCCTTTTTCCACACATCCCTTAGTGGTTCTGTAATTTTCAGGCTCTGGGAGCCACATGTAACCTGAGTCTTTCAGTCACAACCCATTTTTTAACCGCTTTTACTTTACAAAAATAGTCCAGTTATATGTAATGCCTAAGTTGTCAGACTGAATAATTGAAAACTAAAAAAACATCCCTTCTTACATTGGCTAAGTGAAATATTCTTTTTTATTTTTAGTATTTATAGAAAATTTTGAAGTTGTCGTACACTGTTTTAAAATCAGAACATTAGAGATAAAATTATGTTTCCATCGAGGAACAAGTTGCAGTCTGCGGTGACACAAAATAAAAACAAGATGACTCTCGCGCAATAAAGAATCCCTGGAAAAACAGACAGCGACTTGGTTTCGTCTGGAAGACACTGTTACTAACATTACTTTACCAAATTACCAAATTTACCCCTGAGATCTACTGTTAGATTAGCACCCATGTTTTAAAAAACACTGTTTAACAGTAAGGGATGTGAAAAGAAAAAAACAAAAACTCTGGCATGGTACCAAGGTAAAATAACGTATGGGAAATGATGAGGCGGCTACTGTTTCCTCATGATGAAGCTTATTAATTCTTAAATATTACTCAACATTTTATGTTAATTCTTTATAATGGATACCTACATTTTATAGCACATAATATTACACACCACCAAATAAGTATATTTTATTATTTAGAAATTACTAAACAGTTTTTTGCAACCTTATGTTTTTTCTGCTTCTTGTCAGCACAACAATCTGGTTCTGTACTTGCATGTATTCTGTGTATACATTTAGTTTATTCAACCATTTTATATAGTTGTATAAAATTTCCAACAAGGGCAGAAAATACATCTTAGGAGCTACTGCCCCCCTTTTGGCACATGGTCAATCAATAACATTGTTTGAATGAACATATTTTCTTAACAGCTGGGTTTTCAGTCAGACTTTGGTAACACTCCTCTCCCACCTGTAACATACATTTCCTGCTTTACACTGTCAACGTTGACTTGTTTGAAATCTCTTTTGAAATTAGGCCTTGAGTTACAAGGCATACTGTTATTTGAATATTTATGCACATTTGTCAGTGCATTGCCTTCTCGGAGCAAAGCCTGTGAAAACTTGAAAAGGCAATGAAGACATGAAGTTTACAATCGGTGCTGATTCTTTGTTTGCTGCATTCTCCGATTCCTTTCTCCTCATGTTTTTTATTGTGAAAGCAGCTGGAGAGTGTAAATGTTTTCTGTAGTTCTCGCTTTTCATAGTGCGTAGTGGTCCTCTTTATCTCTTAGCAAACCATTCAATTGTTACTTTGTAGAATGAGACAAAAGAAAAAAGGACAAGTTTTTTGCTGAACAAATACAAATTATGTGCTCGAGTCGTTTACAGAAAACAGCCAGACTTAATCTTGGACTTGTAATGGTGTAAATCAGCTTAAACAAAAAAGGAGTAGAAATAAGTGCTTTGTTTTTTTTCTGCTTATGCAACCAGCAGACCAGTTGGAGGGAAGCCTGCATAACATTTGTGCAAGATCTGGAAGTTGTCTTTGTTTGCCATAGTGAAACTTAACTTCTGAAACCAGGAGTTTCCAAACTTCCTGGGGTTTTTTTTGAGGGGAGAGGAAGGGGGCAGAGCACAGTAGACTTTGTCCGGAGTTCTTGTTGGGGCTTTTACAGACATATTCACTATAAAAGAAAAACAGGAACTGACTTCTTTTAATCAGTACTTTAAATCAGTTGAGAATAAGGGTAGATACTTAAACATAAAAAAATTAAATATTGATATATTAGGGTGAGAGAGTATTGAACTGCTGTGTGTGTTAATTTACCTATTCCCTCACACAATCATGTAAGTGAAGGGCAGGGCTTGTCAAAAGCTAACTGTGAACTGTTAATGTTCAGAGGTCTTACATTTTAAGATTTGTTTTAGGATATTTTAAAATATGGTTATGAATCAAGGGATTTTCAGGGTAGTTTTTACTGACACAGTTTTTTTTACTTTTTCGGCACAGACATTAAATGAAATAAAATAGACTATAGTCACCATTTTATGGTGGCACCTGAAAATAGTGTAGTAAAAGATCTGAATGAATTAAGCGTTAGATAATGAATTGATGAAAACACTGAATGAATACACATTGTTTTTGGCCTCATAACTGTGTCACCTGTTCTAAAGGGAAGACAATGGCAATACTAAAAAAAGAAGTCCTTAATCTGTATAACAATGCTATTTTTAAGGTTTTTTTTTTTTTTTCTTAAAGTGATCGTCTCCAAAGGGAGCATTTGGAGTGACTGTGAGCTCCATGCAACAGGTGTTATATCATATTATTTTTTAAGATTATTTCTTTTATAAAATTATATATTTTATAATTGCATAATTTGGTATTAGTTTAAACAGTGCCGATGGTTTAGAATTATTAAGTTTATTAGGGTTAACTGAAAGATTAGATGTGTGAATTTTATTAGATCAAAACAGGCTTTTATTATGGTCCAAAGTCTGATACCAGTCAATTTCGAGCTCAATTACAGCATTTTTATTGAGTTAAAAAATATATTTACACCGATGAACTCTAACAGACAGCCACAGAGCACTTCAATGCTTGTGGTATACACACCTTACACATGAAAGACACAATGTTGATGTAAGAAACAAAGGCATCACCTGACTGAAAATACCATGTATGTAGAGTATGTGTAACGGGGCTCATTTGATCAGGGGAATTTCCACATATTAATTTTGTCTTTGTTATAAATTACATTATAAACCAAATGTAAATTTGAGTGTAAAAAATGTGTTTATATTGCTGTTGAATTTGTACTGATAGTGCGGGTAAAGGTGAATTGTAGTAATGGAAGAATCACATCAAACAGTATTCCTTGTGATCTGAGCCGGCTTAAAAAGAGGACACTCCTGCAGGCCTCCAAGCTGTGTGTGCCCTGAGGTGAACCCTGATCCAGAAAGGGAATTTTAGAGTATGTGCTGCTGCTGTAACTGCTGCTCGACAGTTTGACTAAGGCCCACCGAGGACAGTGGAGAGTGCCACCAAAAAGAAAAGCTGGCTTGAAGCCACTGACGTCATCTTTAGTAAATCTGTTTCAGTACTGCAGCCATAAAATGACTGCCAGCTACAGAATGCACTTTGGCCTCGTCAACTACCTCGGTAGTGGAGCACAATTTTTTTCCCCTCCATTTGCAAATCTAGTTACTTTCTGCAGCAGAAGCAGACACTCCCTATTCATTCATAAAGACATACACACTCATGTTTAGGGCTTTCCTGTGTTTAAATAAAGCTTCACTCTCCCTTTGAAGTTACACTACTTCAATATTATGGTCCTGTAATTTTTACCATATGGTAAACATTAGAGACTGGGAAGGAAAAACACATTCAGTCTATGTATCAAGCAGTTATTGTTCTAACCAGTTATTTCTGATGTATTTTTGTCCAATCAACTGTTAATATAGTGGGACATGTACTTTTATGTCCCACTTTTATCCTAATACGGAGTCAGATAAATGCCTGCCTAGTGATCCCTCACAGATAAAAAGCGGTACATACTCAATGAATCATTATATGAGGCAGTTTCTTTAACCACTATAAACATTTGAAGTTCTTACCCACAATGAAAGCAGGAAATGTGGGCTTCAACAACTTCCTGTCTCTGGTGGCCATAAGAGCTGTTGTGGCGTTTAGCTTCCCACTAGTGAAAAGAAACCAACGGGAACAAAGGCACACAGTCACTTACTGAAAGTGTCTATAATTTGGAGCTTGTATTCAAATGCTGGTTATCCAGGCTCTGTGCCACTGTATTCCCTGGTGGTTGTTAGTAATACATTTCCACAAGACCTTATATCAACGGTTGCTTTGTTTTATCAGCACTGTCTTTGTCCAGAAAGGGTTTCTGCCCTGAAGGTGTCCTGGATTCACATACAAACCTTTTATAACATCCCCAATACTGTACTGTAGTATTGTAGTATTTTATTTTATTTTTTATTTTTTTACAATTACTGTTTTCTGCCCTCATATCCTATTTATTTTTTTGGGAAAACCATTATATTTCAAGATGTAGAATGTTTTTCAACAAACCTATATTAGAGGTGTCACTATATCATCTATATTTGTCAGAGGGACAGAATTCTTCTGAACAGATACCTTGGGGCTGAACACTCAAAGTAAAATAGAATTCACATTTATAAATGTCAGGGATTACTGAAAATTATTTAAATCTCAGTTATTGTCTTTTTTAGTTGCCTAAATAATGGGGACCACACTGTGTTTTCTCTTTGAACCTCACAATTTTGGAATCCAGTTGCTGCCCAGAGTAGACACTTTGGTGGGCTGGATTCAGCCCGCAGGCCGCCAGTTGATGATCACTGCTTTAGTAAATGCAAAAACCAGCAGCTCACGTAGTTTCACTTTTCTCCTGTGATGTGGTTTCACTAAGATACTTTTAATGCCCCAGTGCATGGGTAGAGTTTGCTGTTGCAACA